CTGGGTTGTTGCAGCCACTTCCAATACCAGACGCTACATGGACCCATCTAGCCATGGACTTCATTGTAGATCTCTCCAGTTCAAGTGGGTATAACACTATCCTCATGGTTGTGGATAGATTCTCCAAGATGATGCATTTTATACCTCTTAAAAAATTGCCTTCTTCTCAAGATCTTGTCCAAATATTCTTGAGAGAAATCTTTCGGTTACATGGGTACCGAAAACATAGTCTCCGACAGAGGTACCTAATTTATTTCTAGGTTTTGGCATGCTTTCTGTAAGCAATTGGGCATAGAACTTTCTTTTTCCTCTTCGTATCACCCTCAGACCAATGGTGCAGCGGAGAGGGCTTTAGAATCCTATTTATGTTGTTTTATTGCTGTCAAACTGGTCTGAACTCTTGCCCATGGCTGAATTTGCCAGGAATAATGAGACTCATGAATCCTCCAATCAAGCCCCTTTTTGTAAATAATGGTTATCACCCCACTGTATTACCTTCTGATTTTTCGGGCACTGATATTCCTGCTTTGGACACCCGTTTAGCTTCTGTCAGTGACACGTGAGATTCGGTGCATGTGGCATTACAGACAGCCTCTAGACGTACTAAAGTCCAGGCCCACAAGCGGCGTGGTGCCAATCCTGTCTATCAAATGGGAGACAGGGTCTGTCTCTCCACGCATCATATTAAGCTCAAAGTTCCTTCCATGAAACTGTCTCCTCGATACAAAGAGCCTTTTCATGTCCTTCGACGTATTAACCCTGTGACTTATTCTTTGGTGCTCCCTGCGCACATGAGAATTGCTATGTAATACTATTTTATTTGGAACTCAACTGCAGAAATTTTAATTCCAGTAACTATTAGTTTTACCTCTTTTTGTTACTGATGTGGAGGAGATGATACTGTAGCTTTAAACCTTCAAGCAGGATGTTAATTGCAAGGAAAAAATAAGCCACTGAAGATTTGCACAAGCCAAACAGTCCCAATTTAGAAATAGTGCAGAGAATGTATGCAGAGTTAGGTTCAGCTTAATTGTGATAGAATAACTGCAAGCAAAATTATCAATGAGGCAAGACAGAATTGCAGCTAGGAATAATTTGATTGTTGGAAGTAGAATTAAGCGTTAGAAGCAGTTCCTTATTTATAACAGAGAGTAACTTGAGAGAATGACACAGTATTGAGCCTTAGAAACAGTCTCTTATTAGTAACAGAGAGTAGCTTGATTGTAGGAACAATTACTTAGCTTAAGAGGCAGTTCTGGAACTGAAGAGCTTAATTAAATCCAATGGTTGTGAAGAGGGATAGAAGTCTGTTTAGCAAGCCGAGGTCAAGGAGTGGAGAAGGAGGGTAGTCGTCCCAGAGCGTTATTCGGTACACGGAAGATCAAAATAGAGCAGCTGGTAAGTTTTACAGACACCTGTGCAATAATCCAGCCCTTTGAATCTGGCGCGGTCTTCCAATGTAGCGTGGAAGGACCGCGTCAGAAAAAAGGGGCGGGGCGAAGCTCTGTGAACCCGGAAGTGGGTTCTTTTGGCGAAAAGCACGGCAGGTATAACCTGACATGCTAATACATTCCATGTGTCTCTGCTTAAGCCTCTCCCTTGTAATAGATACACAAAATTGGTGGCTCCTCCCCCGCCTTGGTGGTCGGTGGTCAAGAAGAATACGAAGTTTGCTCTATATTGGATTCCAAGATTTCTAGCTGTGTTTTGTCTTATCTAGTTGACTGGAAGGGATATGGCCCGGAGGAGCGTAGCTGGGTTCCTGCTGACCGGGTTCATGCTCCCCGTCTTGTCCGGTCGTTTCCCAACCGACCGGCACGACCACGCAAACAAGCTGAGCTTACCTGCTCAGTGGTGAACCGGGAACTGCTCCTCTGGATCTTCTGGGAAGTTTGCCCAAAACAAAGGTGGCGCCGACCATTCCCTCTGGTCACCCTCTGACCAATTGCAGTCTAGAGAAGGATATATAAATCCCTGAAGCGTCCCAGTACCTTGCCCTGTCATAGTTTCCCGTCCTGGTTCCCGAGAGTGCATTTATCTTTGCTATTATTGTGATTTCCAGTATTTTGACCTTGGCTATTCCTGACTACTCTGATTTCTGGTTCCCCTGATTTGGCTTGTTTAAAGGTATTTGTGTATTTCTGGCTTCCTTGACCTTGGCTTTCCCTTGATCATTCTCTGTCTCTAACGAATTAATACGGCCATTCTAAGGACTGGTTTACATTCTATCCTTTCTGTTTCTTTCTATATTCTATGTAGATGTTACATAGTTCTGCGTGCTGGACCACACTAACAGTTGTGATAGATCCAGACAGACAAGCAAGTGCTGGCAAACCAACCTGAAATTGTGGTGGTAGACAAGGAACGTAAGACTGCAGTAGTGACAGATGTGGCAGTACCCAGTGACTATAACATCAGGAAGAAGGAACATGAGAAGGTGGATAAATACCAGGGATTGAAAGAAGAGCTAGAAAAGATGTTTAAAGTGAAGACAGTAGTAGTCCCAGTTGTGATAGGAGCACTCAGTGCTGCTACTCCCAAGTTGGGGAAGTGGCTTCAGCAGATTCCAAGTGGGACATCCGAGATCACTGTCAAGAAAAGTGCAGCTCTAGGAAGAGCTAAAATACTGCACAGAACCCTCAAACTCCCAGGCCTCTGGTATAGGACCCCAGAATGAGGAATAAACATACAACCCAGGAAGGGTGAAAAAATAGATATTCTTTTTATTATTTATACATAAATTCATCAAGGAAAAGAAACTAGCAAAACAGCTGAAAGATGAATAGTGATAGACACATGGATTATTCTGGTGCATTACAGAAAAAGTGGAAAAACATTCTGCAAAGTATCAAGATGGAGTAACAGTTTTATATACAAGGAAATGATGCACTCATTGAAAGTTGGCTCAAACAAAAAAGCGAATGCAACAGTTTTTTATACATAACCCCGATAATAACAAGTAATCTGTTCAAATCTCTAGGAATAAAAATGAGTATTGAATTTCTATTGTTTTCTGCTTAACCCCTAACCTGTAAAGAAAAAATATATATTTTACTACATGAGATGCATTTATTACAAAAGAAGGTTATAATCTGTCCCTCAAATATAAAGATAAAAAAATATATATTATAAATGGAGCTCAACTAAAAGCATGAGGTGTTTGCAATTTGTAAAGATCAACAACATTTTATTAGCATAAACTCCTAGCATTATTTTCAATGTTAGTTTTTATTCCTATGACTGTTAAATTTAAATTGCTGTATATATCAGTTTCAATCATAGAATCACATGCTTAGCAGTCATAGGAATAAAAACTAACACTGAAAATAATGCTAGGAGTTTATGCAAATAAAGTGTTTTTGATCTTTTCAAATTGCAAACACCTCATGCTTTTTCTGAAAAGGGATGTGGGGAAGCAGCGCCCTCAGAGGACTCTCAGATCTGTATAGGTGTTACGTGGTATATATAAAAATAAGAGAACAAGAAATCAAATACAGTGTAATATCTCTTTAAACTGGTGAATTTAAGAGTAGGAGGAAAAACACACACAATTTTCTGGAGCTTATGATCTTAACTTTATTTTTAATTTTAGGCACTAGGGGGGCTGCCTGAACAGTCAGGCAGTCACCCCACAGGCAGTCTCATAAACTGCTTTGCGGCCATGTGATTTGCGACACCCGTTGTGATCACATGGCCCTGGAGGGCCAGAAAAGAAACATGGGGACTGTCTGTCTCCTGAGGCAGTCCCCCCGGACCGGGATCATCGTGAATCCCCAGTCCAGGTAAGTAAATTGCGGCCAGGGAGTTAACGATCGTTAGGGCGTACTATGCCGCCCTAACGGCGTTTAGGCTCACTAAATGTCGGGAGGCATTGTACACCCTAATGGCATTAAGGGGTTAATGAGACCTCCCTCTGACAGTAGACATGTATATTCTTAATATGTATTAACTAAAAAATAGATTAGATTGCCACATAATGTAGAAGTTGGGTGAGTATTAAAATTCTATAGAAATAAAAACATGGTTATTCACTAAAGTGTGGATTCAAAGTGAATCTGCCAAACTGAAAGCATAGCTGAATTCTTCCACTTTTACTATTTTTATGTTGAATTTGAAACTCACTGAATTTCTACTTTAGTTAGTAAACCTGATTGTTCCGGTATAACTTGCAAACAAGTGGAGTTTTTTTTTTCTGTGGCTTTTTAAATACAGAAAGCAATAACCTTTTATTCAGTTTAGACTAAACAAAAGTTTACTGGAAAATCAATCAATCAACAATGAGGGTTATGAAGATATTAATTATTACAAACAATATTTAATTAAATTGTCTTTATGAATTAATTTTCTAAACCATTTTGTTGGTCCCATGTCCAGAGGAGCACATGTTGTTATTACAAAATAATTAAATCTTAAGACATATATAATTAGCCACTAAATGAGGTCCAATATATAGTTACATAGTTACATAGCTGAAAAGAGACTTGCGTCCATCAAGTTCAGCCTTCCTCGCATATGTTTTTGCTGTTGATCTAAAAGAAGGCAAAAAAAAAAACAGTCTGAAGTGCTTCCAATTTTGCAACAAACTAGGTTATCATATCATTGCAGAAATCAGGATGGATCGCAGCACTCGTAAACACTACCATAAACATGAGATTGATTCACAAGATATATATGACACCTATTTTAGTGCCAGTGCGGATAAAAATCTTCTAGATGAGGTTTTTATATTTCCTATGAAAGCAGT